CCGATGGCCAGCCTCAGGCCCTACTCTGAGGAGTACCCAGACCGTGTGATTTCAAGTCCACCACCACCGTAACCATGTCATATCCGAACGTAGCTACCCTAGATTGGTTGTTTTCAACAGATCTCTACAATACTTTGTTAATACTTTCTTTTTATTTGTCTTCAAATTATTGAAACAGAGGTGTTTAATATTAGAGTATTTTAATATTTATTTTAATGAGTATTTTAAGTGTGAAGCTGAAGAAGCTAAAAACAAACAATTTATTTTTAACTAAAAAACTAACTCCTGGATAAAAAGAAAACAAATTGGATAAAAATTAAGCATTGTTATATTTATATAAAGATTGTTTTATGAACTTGGACAGTCAATTTTATAATTTATAACCTTGGAATACCAAAACAACACAACTTATATGGTATTTTATGACTATTTTATCCTTTTTTGGTATACAAATCTTTTGTGTCTAGAAAATTGCGTTACGTTATTTTGGAAATTGAATAAAAATTGTAATCGATTTTGAGGTCTATAACAAGTTTTGAGAAGTTTATAAATTTTATCCAGTACCCGGTATCTGGCTTGGAAATAGAATTTTAAATTACATATCTCATTTAATATCTTAAGTTCCACCACTATAAATAGTTACCACTTTAATTATTTAGTCATCGTTGTCCAAACCGATTCAGGCACAGTAACACAAAAGTATTAAATTTGTAAATTATTTTAATACCTCTTCTGTTATATGCAAGAAGTAGCGGCTTAGGACATATTGGGTACGTATAGCAATGTAGGTATATTACATCTGGATATAGGTCCATGCTCATTCTTCCATTATCATTTTTCATCTCTTGATTTTAGGTAAAGTTTTATATCTATATTTGAACAAAATCCTTTATACTTTTCTCATTTTTACAGCTCTTAAAATCAACTTTGTAGTTTACAATTTAAGGTTCAACATCTTTATAACTTACTTTTTCTGAGAATATTTTTGTAATATTTAGTCAGCTTCGCTAGCAATTATTTCTCAATTCCTGGATATCATTAAAATGCTAACTAAATTCTTAATTATTTTCTTAATAAAGTTATCTTGTGCATAAATAGACAAATATTATTAAGCACAGTAGAGAAATTCCTGTGTCAAACTAAATGGATATCTCCTGTAGATTCAGCTTTTATCCCTTTATATCAAATCATGTTTTCTTAGCCTCTTGACGTGTGTTACTGTAGTATTATTATGAATATCTTATACCTATTTACATATCAAATTGTACACATACTTATTTACACTGCAACATTACAATATTAAAATTACTGTGTTAAAATTAATGTGGCCCTTTCATAATAATCGATTGACCTTATTTTTTAACACCATAAATACTCCAAGGTCATTATAACCAATACAAACATCACAATATACACAAGAGCTAAGAGATCATCAGTCTATTATTTTATTTACAGTCTTTAATTCATTTCTCAGTCTAAAAGTTGTTCTCAGTCTAGGTGTCCTTTGTCCGTTTAATATATGTTTGTAAAGTCCCCCGCGACACAGGATTTATTCCTAGAGCGGGAGTTTTCTTTTAAAAAAGAAAAAAAATACATCGGCAAATTCTAAGAACATCGGCCCATTGTATTTAATATATTTGATAACAAACTATTTACAAGCGTTATCAGCGGTTGTAAATAGCTTATAATAGGATCAAAGTAACTCATATATTTTTGCTATCTAAAGTTCAATATAGTATCGATCTGGTTTATAACACTTGTTTACAAAAATATTTTTTTTTTCAATTATTTGATTGCTAAATAGCGTTTGGTAACATGTAATTGATAAACTTACACAAAGTTCTACAGAGGAAGAACTATTTTTAGTGTTTTTTTATTTCTTTTCGTTAATATTAAGATATCCACTCTTCTTTTTTCTTTTAATTCTATGTTCTTTTTCATTGCTGAAACTAAATTTTTAGTTTCTTTTTTGTGTTTTAAGTAGTCAAGTCTCGCATCTGAACACTCGAAAGCAAATGCATTTTTGGAAGTGATTATTAAATAAACCTTCAATTTTAATGACACGTGTTTAAAATATAATATACAAAATATATAAAATGTTTAAATATTTATATATAAGTTCTTGAATTGTTTGCAACAAACGGTATAAGTAAAAGGAAAAAAAACACAAGAAAACAACAACAGTGAAGAAAAATTTAAACAAATGAAAAAGTGTTCATTGTTGTTATGTATAATTATGTTAATTTTGTTTGCCATTCAATTTAAACTTGGATTTTAGAGCCAATTAGCCAATAGTATTCACTAATGATGATAAACTTATGATAGGTATGTACGAGTATATAAATTGTTGATCTCAAAGAATCGTTGTCCGTTAAAAATAACAGAAGGTTAGTGAAAAAGAATTATGATGTAAATATCATAGTTCAAAGTTTTCTAACCAATTAATTCTTGACAAATACTTCATACTACTCGTAATCTAGTAGAAGCAATCAGAAGGAGTAAAACTTTTATAGTCCTAATTATTAAAGATAAATTTAAAGATATTACAACTAAGTCCTTTGTTATATAGTATGCAATAGGAATTTAGTTTTTGTAAAACACTACAAGGATACAGTTTAGTTGCTTTGTTGTTAGGTAATTTGTGATTTAGTACAAGATAAGTTAACATAAAAGTACCTACATAAATAATTTAAGTTCTACTAACGTATTATCTTTTTAATCTGCCAAATCCTTACCAGCCGTTACTTAATGTTAGTTATTCCCATAACAACTTTTTCTAATCTGTACCGTTTTTATGTTAAACTTATGTCTTATGTAAATAATATTAGGAAATCGTGGATCAAGCTAGTAAATGATATTGGTTCCATAGACAGAAACTGTCTTCTACACCAGGACCTGAATTCAGCTATTAATACTCTATAAGTGTTGGTCGAGGTTCTTAACGATTATTGCTGGATCTACATTTTACATGTTGAACAGCTGGTGTATACTTTGTTTGTTTTACTTTTTCATTATTATGAATAACGTAATCAAATAGACAGGTTGGTTAAAGAGCCTTTACCCAGCTACCAGTTGACCGCCTTCTTATGATTATTACTTAACCGTATTACGTGCAGAATATATCGGCGTGTACAACATAATATAAAGCAACTATTGCGACAGTGATCGCTGCTCGTACGCATAGCAATGAATGGTGCAATTACTCGCTCGGTGAAATTTGTCCCTAACCGTCTAGTAGCAGAACCGGACGATGACCTTAAACAATAATTGAGTTCAACGACATATCTTGCACTTTATATTATTTTATAACATTACTAGCTTTTTTATGCGGCTTCGCCCGCGTGTACGTCGGTTATCGTGGTAAAAATTAGATTACTCGTATATCCTTCCCCACGAATCAATCTACACACCAAATTCCATCTAAATTGCTTTAGTGATTATTGATTCCTTATACAAACTTCCACTCCATTTTTCACTCCTTAAAGGAATATTTCTGCGATAAAACTATCCTATGCCCTTTCCTGGGACTCGAACTATCTCTAAGGAGCGTCGTTTAACAGTGAACCATCCTTTTTCTAAGTCATTTTTTTTCAATTCAATTCAATTCAATTTATTTGCGATAATATGGGTTATACAAAAAGAAAAAAACAGGTGGAAAAGATACAGCTAGTTTCACCATATTAAGCCGAATGTCACAGCATGCAAAAATTAACAATAATTATTGATTATAACAAAATAATATCCAATACTGTCATTTTCTAAATAATAATACAGTTCTTAAGTTAAATAATACATAATAAACAAATAATAATAAATACAAACTATAATATGTCAAATTAATACGTCAAAATTTCTGTACTGATGTATGTCAAAGGAAGATGTAAGTAGTGCATTATTTACATCATTCTACATTCTACATATTATCTTCCATGTATTCTTTTACCGAATAATAAGTTTTACCAACTAGAATAGCATGTAACTTTTTCTTAAATAAAATTAAGTTCTTTTCATTTTTCAAATCTGATGGTATCTTATTATATATTTTTGGGCCCATGCAGAATATACTTTTCATATAACTCGGCAGGAAATTGACCTAAGAATTTCGTTTTGGTGTGTATAAGTAAATTCATAAGGTTTCTCATTGTTACGTTACAGAAAAGTAAATAATAAAATTAAGACCATAAAGGAGGTTTTAAAAAAATAAATTTGGCTTACTGCTCGTATGTACTATGGGTAGTTTACACTCAACCAGTTTTATTTTAACAGTGAACCATAATTTAATTACCAGAAAAATACTCCTTTGTGAAAAAAAAAAACGTTGTTTTTGACAATCATCTTTTATATTATATTATACTTATAATAATACTAAAAAAAAAATGTTTCTTGTAACAAAATAAAATTAACATTTGAACATTATCACTTAATGTTTTAATGAAAAAATTTGATTATCCATAACATAATTAAATAAAAATCTGCCTTTTCGGTGGTACAATAAACAGTTTTCGTTATGTAATCTACTAGTTAAAGATCCGTGACAAAATAATCATATCAATTATTTCAGATTCAATATTCACGTCATATTTAGTAAAGATATGTTAAAGAATAAATAATAAGACGTTTTGCACCTGAGAAACAAGGAGGAGGGAGAATCATTTTAATGTCACTCAGTTTTACATGTGATATGTCGGGTTCCAGTGGAAACATAAACCTTTTATTAACATGATCTTTTAATTTTAGATACGAAACGCAATATCCATTATCACTTTCGATTTCAAGAATCTTGGCAATATAATAAACAATCCGTTTCTTTTATTGCAGAGATACAAGGACAAATTCATCAATTATTTAGCTTACGCTGTAAGTCAGGAAAATTTTCATCTATAATTTCATGTCTTTGGTCTGTTTCACTGTCTAGAATAACATTTTCTGCTTCATTAATTTCATTATCTTAGTCTAGTATCACTCTTTTTTATTATTTCTCTTATTTGTTGTTTTTTTACCTTACTTGTCGATGGATAAATGTCATTACTACAATTTTGTAGAACTTTTCTGTTATGCAGACCTTTTCTATTTAACGCAGCAGTACATTCCTCAGCTATTTTTTCCTTTTCTGGCGTGTCCGTTGCTATCATGGTTTTAGCAAATTTTCTACTTTTCCATGTATCGGAACGAGGGCCAGCCTTTATCAAAGCACGGAACATTAGTGGAGTTATGATATGCTCCAACTTTGGTAGTTTATTTTCATCTTTGCATGATTCATCCAGTTTATTTGGCGGTGTCACGTTTTGGTAGTACATATGATATTCTTCTGATAGTATAGATGGACTTTATCGATCAGGGATAACATCAGGATCATAACTTGAATGACGTGTCTCTAGAGAAGTCGAGTCCTGAAGCTGTAGATTATTACTTCTATTCATCTTGAGAATTGCAGAAGCTTAAGCATTGGTAGCATTCCCGCAGAGTAGCAGGTCAGTCATGCTACTTGGCATGAATATTCCCCGTGAAGACCATCGGAGAATATATCCTTATTATAGGAAATTTTGCGAAAGCTGCCGATATATTTAGTGGAGTCATAGATCTAGGATAAGCATGACCCATGAATCTTGCAATGTCATAGATTGTAACTGGTTTTCCTGGGTTCTTTAGCATATACGACTCAAGCGCGGAATAATAATAGGTCTTAAAAGGGCCTATCAAACCCACATCTAAGGGTTTTAGCCCGTGAGGGATAAAATGTAAGAACCGCAACGCCAGATTGTTTCGCTAAATCTAGTCTCAATGGACAAATGTGACTCGTGATTATCCATTATAACCAGAGATGGATTTTCTGGTGTCGTGCTTGAACACTTAATGTAATGTTTTATTACCTCCACGAAGAAATCACTAGTCATCTAAACTTCGTGGAGGTGCACCTTGCATCATCAAGTTTTAATTTTTTTCCTAGTAAATAATTATGGCAGGGGGCTGGGCATGCAAGACTTACACCTTACACTTACACCTTCTGGTTCACCATGGTTGGAAACCATTCAAAACCTGCCAGTTTATCACTTTCCCATGAGCTCGACATTTTAATGTCATTAACCTTTGCCATTTCGTACGCTACCTTCCTACAACCTTTCAGGGTGAAACCGTAAAACATTAGTGCATAGTCCTTGTAGTATTTTACTAATATTTGTTCCTGATCTTTTGTAAACACTTTATTAATATCATACCTAGGTACAAGTGGTATATTTTCAACATGTGCAAATTTGTTTTCACGTAACGACGCAAACTCCCGTAAAGCTAACCTCTACCTAAAGTTGACCTCATGACATCTTTTGTACGTTTGCCTATTTTCCGTTCCTTATTTATTGGTCTTGGCATCCTAAAACACACAAAAATATTATTGATTTTAAATATTATACTATCATGGAATAGTGAACCAGTAAACTATGCAGACTTGGTTGACTGTTAACCACACAAACACAGTTCAACTAATAATAAAAAAAAAATAGGTTTTACACGGAATTCTCACAACACAATGTTAATATCATACAACTTTTGTACCTATAATTAATGACAAAAAATACAAAAATCGAGATACTTACGTATGACAACTGCGTTTTTTTCGCCGGGAAACCAACAAGCTGCTGTCATACCTCACACACTTGCCGCGGTTGCCGGCTCACTACAGGAGGGGAAGAGCGCCTGTACGGGGCTCTTCGGGGCCTGTATTGACACGATCCGTCAAGTTGGCAACATCATCGTTTTATCAATCTGACAGTGGTTCATTGTATCTGGTTGGTTCACTGTTCAACAACCGACCCTACACATATATTTTTTTTAATGATAGAGTAGGCAGACGAGCAGTCTGGTCACCTGATAGAAATTGACCATAGCCGTCCATGAACGTCTGCAACTCAGGAGCCACAAACGCGTTGCCGGCTTTTTGGAAAAAGTACTCTTAATATATCGCTCTTATTGGTTCAGCGGTTTAACCGTGAAGAGCTAAAAGACAGGCAGTTTACCCAAGGGTGGAATAGTCATGGGGCCAAAGAATTGAAAAATATATATAAAATAATTATTTATAAATATTCGTAAAAATGACGAGCTAGCCCTAGTAATTTCGTGTTGAAAAAAAGAAAAGAAAATGTTTTTCGCATGTGCCTATTTGGCGCTAATATTTTTTTGACACTGGTAATAAAATAAATCTTACGTGAATAAGAAGTCAATCGTCAACTCTATAAAGTTTATTTAATGTGATTAATTGGTGTTTAGTGTTAAATAAATTATTATAATGCCAATCAAACTTCAAACGTACGAATTTACATAATTAAAATGATTGCGGTTACATTTACATAATCACATATCTTAACTAATAACATCATAGCGTATATTACGAAGTCGCAACGTTGTTAGGTGGACTCCCATAGGGTTGTCCAACGACCCGGTAAAGGTCGCGTAAACCGTTGGATGCGGGCAGCACAGGACCGGTTGTTGTGGCGAACTTTGGGGGAGGCCTATGTCCAGTAGTGGTTGTCTTTCAGCTGAGATGATGATGAGTATGAAGTTAACCATCATATTTTGTGGTGTTTTTCTCTTTTTATTTAAAATTCTTCTTCATACTTAATTGACTGATTTTAAATATGGCTAATCCCGTATTATCGTACCGTTGCCGACAAAGCAAAAAGTTCAACACAATACGATAACATACCTCGAACATTTTAGATATTTAAACATATAAACATTATTTTTTTTAGTTCTTGAGTGGAGACTGCGTATCGGCAAACGTAGTGTAGGACGTCCACAGGCCAGGTGAAGTGAAGATTGGCGCAAGATGACTGGCAGGAGCTGGATGCGAGAAGCCCAAAATCGATGTAAGTGGCCTATGTCCAGCAGTGGACTGCGATAGGCTGATGATAAAACATTTTAATATTTAATTTGATTAAAGTTCTACTTCTCATTAGTATTTAATCATTTTTAAGATTTCTAGCAACTTCATGTTGATTAGTTTATACTAATGTGTATAAATTTGAAAATGTTTGCTAATAAAATAACTTTATTTCATTTTTTAGCAACGTAGGTATATCTTGCAGTCAAACGTACTTCTGACTTAAATTAAAGTTCATATTAGTTTTACCCAATGGAGGTCGGTACGGAAGGTAGGTTAATTATTTCTCCCTCCCTACATTTCTAGTACCTATCCATTATAAAAAGAATTTTCTTAATCGGTTCAGGCGTCTTCGAGTAAACATACATAAAGAAAAGATTTCAACGAATTGAGAACCTCCTCCTTTTTTGAAGTCGATTAAAGAGCTAGCGTAAAAAATGTGAAAACTTCCTTTGCAGTAACTTAGTCCATTTAAATAAGCCCTATATTATATATGAAGGAATATGAAAGTGATACTACATTATATTAAACTTCGGCGACTCACACTAAGCTTTCCACTATGGTAATGGATTTAATTGAAACAATAATGCAATCGAACACTTTTTGAATTAATAACGTTCAATACTAATAGGATTACAAATATATGTTTTGTCCTCGACTTAGTCTAACACGGATAAAAGAGAATCCATGTGGTGACGGATTATTTGAGTGTCTTAAGATCCATCTAAGGGAGCACACTACGCAGGACACCAGCACTGCAAACAGAAGGAAAACTTGATACATAACCTATACCAACCCGTCTGGCCAGCGTGGTATTTAAGGTCAAAACCTCCTAAGTAGAGGCCTATGTCCATCAGTGGACTATAAAAAGCTGCTGATGATGATTAAAAAATACATATCTTTTTAATAGTTCACAAACAATGGAATAAGCAATTTTGAAAGTACAGTTAATGTGTAAAAGAAATGTATTAGGTTCTTTTTTTTAAAAGACAACTCCTGCATTGGAAATATATCCTGTGTCGCGGGGGACTTCACAAACATGCACGAAACGGACACAAAGAACACCCAGACTCAGAACAACAATTTGTGGACCCACAACACTCAGCGTAGTAGTGAGCGGCGTGGCGACACTACGCCATCCGCGCATAATTATGGCAGTTAATATTATATTGGCCAATGCTATTAATGTTAAATATAAAAGATTATGAGCTTACGATTCCCACAGCAGGCAATCTCTAGTGATCAATAAATCAATATTTTTACTTGGGCCTTTACTGCTAAACAGTATTTAAAATAAAGCATATAATATTTTTATATTGATATTTAAGAAACAATTACCCGTTTGTAAGACTTAGACGTAAGTATACCGTATTTAAGTTTTTTTATATTATTGTTTATCTGCGCATAAATATTTTTAATCTTTTAGAATCTTCTGTTGACGTCAAGCGCGCTTGTCGGTTACTAAGCGGTCACTTGAGTTGATGCAATTGAGTCACTTGTACTGTTAATGTAATGTAGGTAGATCAAATAATGATTTTTTATATTATTTTGATCTACCTACATTATAAATATTATTGTTTTAAACGTTTTATATAATCTTATGTTCAGTAGTTTTGGTGACTTTGAAAATGCCGTGAGGCGAAACCGGTCCTGGTTTAATAAAAAGAATATTAGGGGTTAAAGTATAAAATCGACGATTTGTACTGAAAAATTGAAACTCGTTTTTTCTAAGATGTAACATATTTATTTAATGAAAATATTTACCCTCGTTATCTATACATTGCTGCTATCTAAACGGAAGTTCATTTATGCCTTTACGATAGAACTCTGGGGATCTGGATTCGACAAATTTTTCGGTACAAATCGGCTATTTCATACTTATAACCCATAAATAGTCAAGACTACAATATATTATGTGTATTGGTAATATGTCATATACTTTAGTATCATTTATGATATCAGTATAAAATTTTTGTTTTTGTAATTTATATTGTGTACTATGTTAATATTTAATGTATATCGTTTTGTGTTTTTAGTGTATTTTATATTGCTTAATAAAGCTACCCGCGAGACGTCCATTATGGCAAATGAAAGAGTGACAGATTAACTTTTTCAAACATATTTAAAAAAAGAGCTACAACCGATGTGTAGTTCATTTTTTAAATATGTTTGAAAAAGTTAATCTTATGCCAATGATTTTAAGCAAAAAGGTTTATTTATATTGAAATTATCAAAATAGTTTCAAGAAAAAAATGATTTAATTTATTCTTTAGCTTACAATTTTCAGAACAACTTAGGTAGATACGAGTACGCGCAAGTCACATGTTTTTGTAAAAACTAAGTGCACACCCGACGCACGAGTTAGCACACGTGATCTCGTTCTTCAGATGTAGACTGTCTGTGATTTCTCATCCAGTAACATGTTTTGTAACAGTATAAAATTAATTGCTAACTTAATTGTAATTAATTAATTGTAAAAGCTGTCTACTGCGGTAAAATAATAGGTATTCTTTACCTATGAAGTTGGAGATTTTTAAAACCAATATATTCAGATTTAGTTATCTGTGGATTGATAAAATCGTATAGATAATTTGGGCCAGTATTTTAAAAGTAACCAACATTTTTATAATTTGAAATATTATATTTGTGTGTACCGTGTAGTGACAGATTAAGAATACGGAATGTCACTACCCTAATTCATCCCGTGGGTGTCGTAAGAGCCGACTAAGGGCAGCGCAAAACAACGCATGACACCAGCACTGCAAAAAGAAGGAAAACTTGACACAAATCTTATATGCCAACCTGTCTGGCCAGCGTGGTATAGTAGGTCAAAACCTCCTTTCTAAGGAGAGGCCTATCTCCAGCAGTGAACTATTAAAGGCTGTTGATGATGATGTGATGATAAAAATCTCCAACTTCATAGGTAAAGACCTAATATAAACATACACGTCCTCAAAAACGGTACATCTCCACACTTGTGGAGATGTAGCGTTATTGAAAGGCACTTGCCCTTGAGGTATTGTCTCTAATACAATGTGCTGATTCTGATAATATACGCAAGCAGGACGATCAATCCGTGAATGACTTGACTTCTTAAACTTCTTTTAGTTCAAACTTACAAAAAAAATATTTGAACTTACAGCTATATTAGTTTATAAATTAAGGTTAGACTCATTGCCTCGCAGTAGTAGGCGCGG